TTCTTTTTTCTTTTTGCCTTTCTGGTTGGGTGGCTTTTGCTTTCTTATATTCCAGTTCTTTGGTTTGATTCTTGGGGCATGTTGATCTATAGTAGAGTTTCTGTATATTCTTTATTTCAGACTTTGTATGCTTAATTTTTGGCTGGTCCTTTTCCATTTTTTTGGTATTCTCATTAAGGTCCTTGAAGGTCTCACCAAGCTTCTTGGAGGTCTCATCAAGTTTCTCAAAGGTTTTTAGAAGATTCTTGAGTAATCTTATAAATGTGATTCTGAACTGTGTGTTATCCAGTAGTTTACTCTCCTCCATCTCTTCCATTCATGTCATGCTTCTGTGTTTCCTCATTTTGGCTGCCTCCCTGTGTAGATGGAGTGGCTTTGTGTGGTCGGTGACCTATAGGGGTCAGTAGCTCAGCTTCCCCAATCACCTGAGGAGGTCGCTTTTGCTATATCCTTTTTTGGGCTGAGTGCAAAGTCTTGGTGTAATTAAGCCTTGATTGCTGTTGGTACTGGGAGGAATTGACCTCAAGGCCAATTGTCTGTGAGGATCCGCTGTGTCTATAAAGGAAGAACTGCTGCGCTGGAGACACACCTTGTTTCAGAGGGGCTTTGGTGCTCACTGAGACAGTCTCCCAAATGTGTCACTTATGGATGTGAGGGATTGAAACTGAGCACTAGAACTCTGGTTTTTGGGTCTCAATGATGTACAGTTCAGCTACTATCTGAGGCCAGTACGGTTGCAAAAGCTACAGCGTGAACTACAGTCCTGTCCTTCTTGGATCTGTTTGCCCCAGGTTGCAATTTTGCTAAACTGTACCAGAGAGGGCCATTCATATGCAAAGTCCGATGCTTGTAGCTTGGATGTGTTGTGAGGGGCGGAGTCTCAGGGCATCACTAGGCTGGGGTGTGGCCAACAGAGATAGCTGCTGTCCGCCTCTCCTATGGTGTCCCCATGTCTCCCGTGTCTCACACCACAGCACAGTAAACAATCTCAGCTCTGCAAGCAAGCCAGCCTCACTTTCTGACCAGATGGCAGACAGTCTAGCCTCTCCCCAGAAACTGGGTTTCAGAGAAATCAGGTGCTTGTCTCTCTTTGGGTTGAAGAAAGCACTGCCCTTGGCCAACTTGGATCCACCGCCAGCCCTTATCATGTCCTCATCCCCCTCCCTTAGTTTTTTAGTGCTTGTGCCTGGATTCTCCTCTTTCTCTTTCAGTCTAGATGTAAGGCTTCCACTCAGCCAGCTTTCGTTTGGTTTTTGGGAGATAGACGTTTGTTTTATAGTTGGTTTTTTTTTTTTTGGGGGGGGGGGGGGGGACTTGTTGTGCCCGGCAGCTGTTTAGGAGTATTTACCTAACGACGCCATCTTCATTCTCCGCCAATAATGAAAACTTTTTTTTTTTTTAAATATATTTTATTGATTTTTGTACAGAGAGGAAGGGAGAGAGATAGAGAGTTAGAAACATCAATGAGAGAGAGTCATTGATCAGCTGCCTCTTGCACACCCCCTACTGGGGATATGCCCGCAACCAAGGTACATGCCCTTGACTGGAATCGAACCCTGGGCCCTTCAGTCCCCAAGCCGACGCTCTATCCATTGAGCCAAGCCGGTCCCGGCCAATAATGAAAACTTTTGAAATACTGTGAGAATTACTAAAAGGTGACCACATCTCTGTTGGCCACACCCCAGCTTAGTGATGCCCTGAGACTCCGCCCCTCACAACAGAGATACCAAGTGACAAAAGCTGTTGAAAAAAAATTGTGCTGATAGATTTCCGGAATGCAGGGTTTCCATAGACCTTCAATTTATAAGAAATGAGATATCTGCAAAGCTCTCGATGAGTAATCTTTTTAAAGTTGTAGACTATATATTGGGCAAGGGAACTCCTCTATAGCAGTCTATGTTTTAAAATGCTTCCCCACCCCTTTTTTCCTTTAGTCTCTGTGGGCAGTATTTCAGTTACCTCCTGGAGTTTTTACATTTAAAAGATGTGATAAGATTTATAACTTCCAAGGACAATTATACACAAACACTAGGGGATGAGGACATGTGCTGGGGGTTGGGGGTGGCCAGGGAGAGGTCAATGGGGGAAAAAGGAGACATGTGTAATACTATATGTAATACTTTAAACAATAAAAAAAAAAATGCAAGATTTCTCTTAGGAATTTTGGGGTGTATTTCTCTATTACCAGAAGTTTGATTGTTATTTAAAATTTTAGGGATTGGACAGCATGTCACTGTTTCACTGTCAATAACCCTGACATCCTCCTTTTTAGTCTCATGGCTTTCCCAGGGTTTCTACTTCTTAGCATCCTAATCAGTATTCAGACTTAATCTGTGACAATTTACACATTCCAGGCTTTGCAAAATACCATGCTAAGTTCTCCAATTTATTATTCTGTTCCCCCACTGTGGCTGCTAGCCCTGAAGATAACAGAGTAGTGGACTCCTGTATGACTTTCTCTAACTTTAGCTTTTCTTTAAAAAAAAAAAATTAAAAAAAAATAATTGATTTTAGAGAGGAAGGGAGAAGGAGTGAGAGATAGAAACATCAATGACGAGAGAGAAGCATTGATTAACTGTCTCCTGCACACCCCACACTGGGTATTGAGCCCACAACCTTGGCATGTGCCCTGACTGGGAATCAAACTACGACCTCTTGGTTCATAGGTGGATGCTCAACCACTGAGCCAGGCTAATTTTAGCTTTTCTTCTAACTTTCTAGCTCAAGCTTCAGATTCTTGTTGGATATTGGTTGCCAGCCTAACTGCCCACAGTAGAGGCCAGCCCAGAGCATCAGCCATTTGTTTCCCTTCTTTGCCATCAAACAAACATATCAAACCAACTGGTATTTTCAGAGTGTCCTCATACACATGTGGCTGTCCATTAGCATCTGATATATGGGTTGCCTGTCACCACATAGAGGTCAATGTCAGACTTGAAATTCCCCCCATGAAAGTCTCTTTTAAAAGGCCCATTTCTTCAGTCTTCTGACTGACTTGCCAATTGTTGGTTTGTAAACTGTCCCCCTTACATGGAGGGCAAGGAAAGTTCTAAGAAAAAGATAGAGCACTCCAAATGATAGGTGATAATTTTTTTTTTTTTTTAAGAGAGTGGAAGGGAGGGGGAGAAACAGAAAGAGAGCAATATCGATGTGTGAGAGACATATGGATTGGTTGCCTCTGTCACAACCCTGGAATCAAACCCAGGACCCTTCAATACGCAGGCCAACACTCTAGCCACTGAGCAAAACCAGCTAGGGCAATATATGGTATTTTTAATGAGTAAGGGAACTTACCTATTGGGCTTATCTTGAATGGCACCAATATGAGTAAATCACTCACCCCACCCCCACCAAAATGTTAAGTTTATATAGTGTCTTTAATGAGATTCAATATACCATCCAGAAGGATCTCAATATCACCTTATTACCTCAAGGCTATGTCCTTGGAGCAACTTCTAGCAAGTAAGGGGCAAGTGGAATGCACATTCCAAAGGCAGGGGAGGGGTAAGGAGCCTCTGATTGACTGGGTCCAGCTCACAGGTCAACTGGCAGTCATACCCTCCTGATGCCCTCCTCCAACAAAGCCTCTTACATGCTCGACTGAAAACAACATTTATTTATGTTGTTTGTTTCCCCCCAGTTTATTTTGTCTCTGTATTCAATTGGGTAATTTCTGCTATTCAGTCTTTCAAATTACTTATTCATCTTAGAACTGAAAGTTTGTAACCTTTGACCAACATCTCCCACTCCCAGCCTCTGACAGCAACTATTGTACTCTCTGTTTCTATGAGTCTAGATTTATTTATTTTTATTTATTTAATTTTAAAAGAATTTTCTTTTCCAATTACAGTTTATATTCAATATCACTTTGTATTAGTTTCGGGTGTACAGCGAAGTGGTTAGTCAATCATATACTTTCTAGAGTGATTCCCCCAATATTTCAAAGTACCCACTAGGCACCATACATAGTTATTACAATACTAGGGGCCTGGTGCATGAAATTTATGCACTAGGGAGGGGTCCCTCAGGCCAGCTTGCCCCCTCTAAAGAGATGTCCTGTGGATGGCTTAAGCATAAGGTTGGGAGCGGACCTAAGCTGCAGTCTGGCCTCCCTTTGCTTGAGGCAACTGGGCTGATCAGGGGAAGGCACCAGCCCCATTATCTCACTGCTACAGCTGGCAAGGTATTTTTATTAACATGGACTCCAGTCCCTTCACCATGAAAAAATGACAACTTTCTTTAGGCATTTTCAAGATGTGTCTTTCATAGGATATGACATTTCTTTCTTTATTTTTCTTTTTATTCTCACCTGAGGATATATTTCCATTGATATTTTCCCCTTCCCTCCGATCCCAAGCTCAGCAGCTCTCCAAGCTTAAAGCCTCCACCCCATGCTTTAGGCTTGGGAAGGGGTTCCCCCCCTGGCACCTACAATCACAGGCTCGGCCCCTTCCCAAGCTAAAAGTCTCTGCCCAATGGCCAGCTGGGAGTGACCTGAGTGCTGCGAGGTTCCCAGGACCCAGGTATGTATGCAAATTAACCACCATCTTTGTTGGATTAATTTGCATACTCACTCTGTTTGGCTGTGGGTGTAGCAAAGGTATGGTCAATTTACATGCTTCTCTATTATTAGGTAAGATAATTGATCCTATTCCCTATGCTGTATTTTATATCCACAGGATAATTTTATAACTTTATTTATAATACTTAATTCCTTCATCTTTTCCACTAGCCCTCTCCACGCCCCCTTCCCCCACCCCCACCAATCCCCTTCCCTTCTGGTAACTTCCAGTCTGTTCTTTGTATCTATGAGTAAGTTTCTATTTTTATTATTATTATTATTTTGTTCTTTAGGTTCCACATGTAAATGAAATCATGTGGTATTTGTCTTTCCTAGTCTGACTTGGTTTTCATGTGGTTCCCCTTGAACCTCAATTATATTATACACTTTGCAAATTACTTTTCTTATATTGCACCTACATGGTCTTCTGTTAATACAGAGAAAGATTGGAGCTGCTGCCCAAAGAAGTGGGAGCCATTTAGTTTGAACTGCTACTTTATTTCTACTGAGGCCAAAAACTGGACAGAGAGTAAAAACAACTGTGCAGCAATGAAGTCTCACCTGCTGGTGATCAACACCAAGGAAGAGCAGGTATGTTCTAACAGATAATGAAGCAAGCAATCCTGCCTGGGTTTTGTACACCTATCCTGGCTAAGGAGGATGATTTCATTGTGTTAGCATATTGGTGCTGTGGTAAAAGGCTTTCAATGAAGTAGGAAAGCCTTTACATTTCACACCTTCTTCCAGCTTCCATAAAACTAAACTCCCCCAAAATAAATGAAGACATTTAAAATAAAATATTAGGTCTAGTAATAATTAATGTCGTTTTCTAATACTTTTTTAAATCGAATTTATTTAAACAATACAACAAAATTTAATCAACAATATAGTTGCTGTTGTTTTCTACTACTTGTGCCCAATGCTCAGGAAGCATTTTAATCCCTCTGTTGTAAAATTCTTGTGATTTTGATGCAAAAAATTCGGTCAATGCATTTTTGAGGCATTCTTCATTATTAAATTTTTTTCCAAGAAGAAAGTTTTGCAAAGAACGAAACAAATGGTAATCGGAAGGGGCAATATCAGGAGAATATGCAGGTTGAGGGAGAACTTCCCATTCCAACTGGCGCAGTTTTTCAGCAGTGATTCTTGCAGTATGCGGTCGTGCGTTATCGTGGTGAAGAATTACGCCCTTCCGATTAATCAGCGCGGGTTCTTTTTCTCTTAAAGCTTGGGCTAACCTTTCCAATTGGGCACTATACACTGCACTTGTAATGGTTTGGTTAGATGGTAAAAGTTCATAATGAAGAATTCCTTTAAAATTCCACCAAACACACAACATCACTTTTTTCGCATGCAAGTCAGGTTTTGGCGTGGGCTGCGGAGCCTCATTTTTGTCCAACCATTGAGGCCGCCTTTTTAAATTAACATACAGCACCCACTGTTCATCTCCAGTAACAATTTGCTCTAAAAACGGCAAGCGGTTTTGATGAGAGAGGAGCGAACTGCAAATTGTGACTCTTTGATTACGGTTGTTGTCGGTCAACTCATGAGGAACCCATTTTCCAAACTTTTGGACTTTGCCAAGTGCACGCAATTGATTGGAAATTGTTTTTTGTGAACAATTTAAAGTTGTCGCAAGCTCTTGTTGGGTAATTTGAGGATTTTGCACCAAAAGAGCTTGAAGAGCTTCTTGATCAAAATTGGACACACTGCCTCGACCACTCTTGTCATCTAACAAAAAATTTCCCTCGCGAAATTTCTCAAACCAACGCTGGCATTTTCTGGCGCTAACTGCATCTTGACCAAGAGCACTACAGATGTTTTTTGCAGCCTCACTTGCTTTTCTTCCTAATTGGAACTCGTAAAGCATGCAGTGCCGAATAAGCTCTTCATCCACCATCTTCTTAGCCCTAGTTTTGCAACAAAACCCAAACCAAACACAAACTTTTTCAAGCAAAACTTGTTAATTGCACTTCACACGTTCTGTAGATACCATGTGTTTGAAGGTTATGTCAATACAAGTCAATGCCAAGCAAGATTTTAAACGAATGTTAAAAAACGGCATTAATTATTACTAGACCCGATATGTGGGAGTTGAATGGAGAGATGAAAGTATTTCAGCCAGAAATATCAGTTTATAATTTTAACATGAAAAGGTTTTATAAATTACTTATTTATTTCATATATATAATTGATTCCAGAGAAAAGAAGAGGGAGGGAAAGAGAGATAGAAATATCAATAAAGAGACAGAATCACTGATTGGCTGCCTCTTGCATGTCACACACTGGGGATTGAGATCGCAAATTGAGTATGTGCCCCAACTGGGAATCAAACCTTGACCTCCTGGTTCATAGGTCGATGCTCAACCACTAAGCCATATCAGCTGGGCTGTAAATTATTAACTAACAGAGAAATGGTAATAAAATATGTAAATAGTGGAATAAAATATGTAAAAAGAATCTCCAAGGTTGTGAAAAGAAAAGGATGTAATATGCAAAAAGTTTACTCATGCATAAGTTTGAAGAATAGCCGCACTCAGTGAATAAAAGAGTGGGAGTGAGTCTAAGATGAGATTTCATTATGATTATGGATAGAAATCACTTCCATATGTATTGAACATTGTTATGTTCTCAATGTGTGTGTCTTCTCCAAATTTGCATGTTGAAATTCTAACTCCCAAAGGTGATGGTATTAGGAATTGGGGGTTTGGGGAGGTGTTTAGGACATTAGGATGGAGCCCTCATAAATCAGGTCAGTGTTCTTATTAAAAGAGACCTTCCATCATGTGAGGACACAGTCAGAAGGGGCCAGCTATGACCCAGGCAGAGGGATTTTCCCAATCATGCTCCTACCCTGATCTGGAATTCCAGCCTCCAGACCTGTGAGAAATATGTGTCTGCAGTTTATAAGCTCCCCTGTCTGTGGTCTTCTGTTGCAGCAGTCTGAGTAGATGAAGACAAACATCAGGCTCCCCGGGGATGTCCATGATCCTGTACTGCACAGCCTCCTGGGCAGGGCCTCCTGGCTCTTCCTGGATCCCCTCCTTTTCTTCTCTCCCTAAGGCCATAAAGAACTCAATCCAACCTGAGTACTCTAATGGCCAGAACCCCTTTTCTTTCTTTCCTCAGGATTTTATCATTGGGAAACTGGATAGAAAGAGCGCTTATTATGTGGGGCTGTCAGACCCAGAGGGGAACAGAGCATGGCAATGGGTTGATCAGACACCATACAATGCAAGTGCCGCGTGAGTATAGAATTTGATAAAGGAATTCTGACTTTTGATCATCAGGCATTTTCCAGTGTCCAAAGTATTGATATTAAAATAAAAATAGCTCCGGCTTCTTATAACTCTTGGCACTAAGTTAAATAATTTTATTTATTATCTCATGAATCATCACAAGAACCCTATGGAGTACAGATTATTATGTTTTATTGTAGAGCTGAGGAGCTGAGTTTAGAGAGTTTAGATAACTCAGCATATGTTATCTGGCATTGGTGCAATGGTTCTTAAACCCAGGTCTATTTGACACCAAGGTTTGTATGTTTTATTTTTAAATCCCTCTTCTCTACTTAAATATGTTTCCATTGATTTCTGAGAGAGGAAGGGCAAGGGAGAGAGGGACAGAAACCTCAATGATGAGAGAGAATCATCGGTTGGCTGCCTCTCACACGTCTCCAATGGCAACTGAACTCACAACCTGGGCATGTGCCCTGACTGGGAATCAAATTGTGACCCTGGTTCATGGGTCAATGCTCAATCGCTGAGCCACACTAGTTGGGCTAAAATCTGTGTATTGACCACAAATTTGCATCTCTAAACAAACATAGTCATACTAATTAAAATCATAACCAATGGTTAATATTTATTATCTCTCATAAAGCAAATGAATGAAATTCTGATAATTTTATAATATCCCATATTAGTGTAGGTCTTTTAAAACTGTTAAGTACTTTAGTACATTATTATTTTTTAAAATTTATTTTTATATTTTTGTTAATAATCACCCGAGGGTATTTTTCCATTAATTTTTAGAGAGAGTGGTAAGGAGAGGGAGAGATAGTGAGTGAGAAACATTGATGTGAGAGATATGTATTGGTTGCCTCCCACACACACCTTGCCCTGCACTGAGCCAAACCGGCCAGGGCAGTACATTCCTATTTTTTAAAAAAATATATATTTTATTGATTTTTTACAGAGAGGAAGAGAGAGGGATAGAGCGTTAGAAACATCAATGAGAGAGAATCATTGATCAGCTGCCTCCTGCACACTCCCTACTGGGGATGTGCCCGCAACCAAGGTACATGCCCTTGACCTGAATCGAACCTGGGACCTTTCAATCCGCAGGCCGACATTCTATCTACTGTGCCAAACAGGTTTCAGCACATTCCTATTTTTGATCCTTATATCAACTGCATGAAATATATAGGAATCTTACTCTATTCTTTATTTTTTTAGATATGTAAATAAAGGAAATTAAATAAGATGTCCAAGATAACAGGCATCAGAGCAGATTCATAGATTTTAACTCTTTCTTTAGACTCCCAAGCAGTTGGTTAAAAAAAAAAAGAAAAAGAAAAAAACTTCATTAAGACTTGGGACCAGAGTAAAATGTCATCATTAAGGAATCCTATGGCTGACAGTTCCCTAGGTCAGGGCATGGATAAATAGAAGGGACTCTGGGATATCTGCTGGGAAGGTGTTTAATGCAGTAAGATGACACCATACTGGGTGGTGTGTAGGCACAGTTTTCAAGGGAAATGACAAAGACACAGATGGAGAAAGAAACAACTACTGCCTAATAAGCGGAAAAGAAATTATTGGGCACTTCTGCTTTGATTTTTGCACAGTTTAACCCCAGCTTCCTACCTCACTGTCTCTAACCCTTCTCACTATTTGAAGACACAACCATATTTTTCCCTTTCAGATTCTGGCATCAAGGTGAACCCAATAATCCTATGGAGCGTTGTGTTTTCCTGAATAAACGTCCACAAGGCTCATGGGGCTGGAATGATGCTGATTGTAAGGACTCTCAAAGGTTAATTTGCAAGATGAGGAAGATCTACTTATGAGTGGGAAATTCTCCATGAACATGCCATTGAATTAGTAGCCACCAATAAAGAGTTAAATATGTTTCTTTGCTTTTCAGAATTCATGTGTAAGCTTGTGTAAGTGATCTTCAGAGAATTTTCCAATAGGCTGTCACCTATCAACTTATATAAAATAAGTGTACACGTTTATTCGTGTATTCATTCACACAGTGAACACCTGTGGAGCATTTTAAAGTCTCCTGTATACTGGAGAGCCTATTTGCAGACAAATGGAGAGAGAATGAGCCTCCTCCCCGAATTTTTGTCTAATTGTTAAGGGTTTATCAGGGGTGGGAAAAGCCTGGCCCACAGGCCAGATAAGGCCCACTTAATCATCTGGTCTGGCCCTGCCAAGGCATTAGGGGGTGAGTTAATTAAATGTTCGGCCAAATACAGCAAGCTTATTGTTAAGGTGATAATTTTGTATGGCCCAAGAATTATGTTATAAATATCCACATGGCTATTGGCAGAAAAAAGATCCCCACCCCACCCCTGAGTTACAAACTGATATGATATGGCTCCTCCATTTATCTGGATTTATCTCTTTACTAGAGGCCCGATGCATGAAATTCCTGCAAGGGGCTCAGCCACAACAGCCCTGGCTGCCTCGACCCTCACAGCCCCCAGCTACCTCAGCCCTTGCATCCCCAGCCTCATCCAAAAGGTGATTTGGACAGGCGTTCCACTGTCCGGTCTAATTAGTATATTAATTGTTTACTTTCGGATGGGCTGCTCAAAAGCAAAATAGTACCAACCATTCCATTCCATTTCTCTCAGAGAGATTCATTATTTTCACTAAAAGCATATTACATATCATTTGGAATATAATGCACATCAATGGCAGATAAGTCTCAGCTTTGGCCCAGTAGGCTCCTGTGCTTCTTCACATTCTCTGTTTGGACTTGAACTGTCATTTAATATCAGAGCGCAGGCACAGCATAACCAGAGATTGAGCATTGGATATTCACAATTAGAGAATTAGAAGTCATTACTGGTGTAAAAACGAAGCAACTTTAAAATGGAGTCACAGCTGCCACCCCATTGAAACTGCCTTTCAGGTCTTCTCAAACCTTTGGAATATTAAAACTTGCAAAATAACATTTGGACTGGGCCTAAAATAGCACTGTATCTCAAACAACTCTTAACAACAACACAACCCAAAACAACAACAAAGAAAGCTGATATAATGACTCCTGACTGAAAATTAAAGGAATTCTTTAGAATTAGCATCAATATGTTATTGTGTCTGCACCTATAGCAGCCCCTTGCTTCTATCTATACATTTGTTCCTATTACTTTCTCAAATACTCCTTGCCATAAACTCCTACTAAGAACATGAAGTGTCTTCCTGAATCCATCAGTGCTTCCAGAATAGCCTTTGGATCCCCAAAAATGCTTTTTGCTCCTCACTTTGACCGTTTATTTTTAGGTTAACACTGGTGAGTTGACATAGGTTTGTATTCATTAGGTTTTCTGGTATTTTTTTCTTTAAGTTCTATAATTTCCATGTATGGATTGCCACTCAAAATGACTCCTAGAATATTTGTGTCTCCCTTTTTACTAAAGTTCTTACACACAATTTTCTTTCTAAAACAATATAAAATATATAATATTTATAATGAGGCCTGCAATTCAGGCTTTATTATAGCAATTATAATTGATCATAATAAAGCTGATTTTCTCTATGACTATCTCCATGTGGCCTATAATTTTCTTGATTTAATAGTGTAGTTAATTATATTTACCACTCATTGCTTGCCTATATCTCAATTGAGTTATTTTTTTAAAAATTTTATTTTTTAAAGTATTCTGTGTATCTCCTTTCCCCCCAGTGACATCTCCCCAGCCCATGCCCTCAACCCCCTACTGTTTGTGTTCATTGGTTATGCTTATATGCATATATGCAAGACCTTTGGTTGATCTCTTACCCTGAACCCCATCTCCTACCTTCCCTCTGAGGTTGGCCAGTCTGTTCGATGCTTCTGTGTCTTTGAGTCTATTTTTGTTCATCAGATTATGTTCTTCATTATATTCCAAAAATGAGTAAGATCATGTAATATTTATCTTTCTCTAACTGGCTTATTTCACTTAGCATAATTTTCTCCAGGTCCATCCATGCTATTGCAAATGGTCAGAGTTTCTTCTTTTTTACAGCAGCGTAGTATTCCATTGTGTGGATGTAACAATATTTTATAATCCAGTCATCTGCTGATGGGCACTTAGGTTGTTTCCAAATCTTAGCTATTGTAAATTGAACATAGGGGTGCATATATCCTTTCTGATTGGGTTTTCTGGTTTCTTGGGATATATTCTCAGAAGTGGGATTAGTGGGTCAAATGGGAGTTCCATTTTTAATGTTTTGAGGAAACGCCATACTGTTCTCCACAGTGGCTGCACCAGTCTGCATTCCCACCAGCAGTACGAGAGGGTTTCTTTTTCTCCCCATCCTCACCAGCACTTGTCGTTTGTTGATTTGTTGATGATAGCCATTCTGACAGGTATGAGATGGTACCTCATTGTTGTTTTGATTTGTATCTCTCAGATGATTAGTGACTTTGAGCATGTTTTTATATGTCCCTTGGCCTTCTGCATGTCCTCTTTCAAAAAGTGTCTATTTAGGTCCTTTGCCCATTTTTTGATTGATTGTTTCTCTTTTTTTTTGTTAAGTTGTATGAGTTCCCTTTAAATTTTGGAGATTAAACACTTACCAGAGATAACATTGGCAAATATGTTCTTCCATGTAGTTGGCTTTCTTGTTGTTTTTGTTGATGGTTTCTTTTACTATGCAGAAGCTTCTTATTTTAATGTAGTCCTATTAGTTTATTTTCTCCTTAGTTCCCATTGCCCTAGGAGTGGTGTCAGTAAAGATATTGCTTTGATAAATTCCTGATATTTTGCTGCCTATGGATTTTTCTAAGATTTTTATGGTTTCCCACCTTACATTAAAGTCCTTTATCCATTTTAAGTTTATTTTTGTGTCTGGTGTAAGATGGTGGTCTAGTTTCATTTTTTTTGCATGTATCTGACCAGTTTTCCCAGCACCATTTATTGAAGATACTGTCTTGCTTCCACTGTGTACTCTTGCCTCCTTTGTCAAATAGTAAGTGACCATTATAGCTTATGTCAATTTCTGGGTTCTGTGTCCTCTTCCATTGGCCTATATGTCTGTTCTTGTGCCAGTACCAGGCAGTTTTGAGGACAGTGGTTTTGCAGTATAGCTTGATATTTGGCCTTATGATCCCTCCAACTTTGCTCTTCTTTCTCAAGGTTGCTGCAGCTATTCGGGGTCTTTGTCAGGTACATTTACATTAAAGGTTGTTATAGTTTCTTGGAATATCTACTTCTTTATCATTATGGAATGCCTGTCTTTATCCCGGTTAGGTTTCTTGCTCTGAGGTCTGCTTTGTGTGAAATTACTATAGCTACAAATTTTTAATAATTAGATATAGCTAATTATTATTTATAATTAGCTATAACTAATTATTATAGCTTATTGTTTTTTTTTAAAAACTATTTTTAGAGCATTTATGTTTATAAGCAAATGGAGAGATACAGAGTGTTCCCATATGGTCCTTGCCCCACACATGCATAACCTCTCCCTTTATCAACAGCACTCACCAGAATGCTATATTTTTTCACAAAGGATGAATCTACATGGACATGTCAAAAGGACCCAAAGTCCATAGTTTACATTAGGCTTCACTCTTAATGTTATACAAGTTAGTTTGGACAAATGTTTCATGACGTGTACCCAAATTTATAATATCATACAGAGTATTTGCACTGCACTAAAAATCATCTGTGCTCTGCTAATTGATCTCCTCACACCTCACCATGCAACCATTGATCTCTTTTCTTGCCTTTTCCGGAATTTTATATCATTGAATGGTACAGTATGAAGTTTAATGCTTCAGTTTTGTTGGTTGTAACGGTTTGTTCAATTTTTTTCTTGATTCAGTTTTAAAAGATTGTATGTTTCTAGGAATTTCTTTCTTTCAGTTTATTGCACAAACACTAATTTTTAATAGAGCAACCCAATGCTGCTTTCTTAGAAAGGAATTTAATTCCAATTGCCGATTCACCAATCTTAGCCCCTTTAAAAGTGTTCAAGGCAAAACAGAACATTTGCTTTGACTCTATTAGTATATGATTTTATATTCGATCAATACTAGTTACTGTCTTCTTTATTTCTACTGGTTGCAATACTTTTTAAGTAGACTCAAATATCCTAAATCTATTTGTATATCTAACCTGAATCTATTCAGAGTTTGTCTTTTGTTACAATTTACCATTCTTCCTATGAATATTTGTCTTATTTTATATTTTGATGTATTGGTCTTTTCTGATTTTGCTACTACCATGCAGCAGTTTGCCAGCAGCAATCTAGAAATATATATGGCACAGAGGAATGGAAAAAAGCAAAGAAAATGGGGCACAGGATTGCAAATGGTCAAGATGATTACATGATTAGGAGAGACTGTATTGGAGATGAGTAAGGAATCGGAAGTCTTTAACTTCCCTTTTCTATATATAGCTAAGGAGAGTGTTTTCTTTTCCTGGACCACCAAGTGATCCAATCGTGGGTTGTTTTTCTTTGTTTCTAAAGAAAACTAAAAACAGATGATGATGTTAACAATCACTGTTCTACTCCTCTTATGATTTGTTGCCTCTCAAATCAATTTTCCAAGTTTTCATTCCTATTCTCAATGTCATTTTATCATTATCTGTAGAACTTTTCTATCACTTAAACCAAGTTGAGTGGAAACCATGTTGGGTTCAATATTCCTATATTCATAGCAGATATTTTGTGTTCAAGACTGCTCATGTGAGAATGTTTGTGATGTTAGTAGGAAGAAGGGTCTACATTTCAGATTAACAACAAGGAATTCAGGAAGCCTGCCTTTGATATTATATAACTTCTAATTGCATCTAATCCAGCAGATTATAAATATCACTAACTTCTGCCTAATATTGGTCTTGATGTAATAAAAATATTTGTCAATGCAACTAGATTCCAGAATCTCCCATTTTGCTACAATGTTCCTATAAAATTTCCATAGGCCTTTTTGTAATTTACCATATTTAATGATGATCAAACCATATCCATTTAATTAGACTAGACTTTTGCTCATTTCCTAAGATACTGTGCAAAATGTAAAGGTTGGTTAGGGAGCACTTAATTTAATTAAGGCCTGTAAGTAATTGCTGTTAGGGCATATGAAATTTTTCCTTTCCCATGTCAGAATGCATAAGAATTAGGGAAAGACATTTCATACTAGTAACAGAACAAATGATTTGAATATTCTTGTCTAAATTTTCATAAGTAGTTTTGGGTATGTTTCTCAATTTCCTCTTTTATTCATCCCAGTATTGAAAAAAATACCAGAATCTTTAATCCAAACCACAACTTCTTCTTTTCAAGACCCTTTATTTTGAAAATCTCTTAGCCTCATCTGAGTGTTTAACTGCTTGTTTCTGTGCTCTGACCTATTTGAATGAAGGCAAGTCTTCGGATAACACCTTCTGTAAGAGAGATCCAAGAGGCTCCAGGAGCTTTTGAACACAGGGAGTCCTCTGACTCACACAATGGTGCAAGAAGGGCAACCTCAAAATAGAGGTGAGCATTCCTTTATCACTTTCAAGGAGGAAAGAAGTATATGATGAGATTATGAGTCATCTGGAGAAGAGGTAGGTAACAGACAGACTGAAGAGATAAAGTTTGGACTAACATCATAGATTTTTGAGAAGTTGAAAGAAATAAAAATTCCTCAGAGCTAGAAGTACTTGAAAGAATAAGAAACCAAATATTAATACAGTGTTATGAGAATTAAAAGGGGAGAAAAATAATGTTTTAAGAAATATGGGGAAATCAATGGATAAATGTAGTATTTAATAAGAAAGAATAATAAAATGAAAATTACAGTTGGTTGAGGTTGAGTTTTGCCTAGCCTGCTTAGGACTTCTGAGCTTCTGGTTATACATTCTGAGGGAATTTTTAGACTCTCTTCTTGCTTCAAGTTTAATTACTCTGAGGTCCTTTGGTTTTCTTATGCTGTAACTTTTAGAAATGCTGGCCTCGTGTCCCCTTGGTAATTGCTTTTGTCTTGCCTCTCTGACAGAAAACGGAATATGGTGGTTTCAAGTGAGGGCCTGGTCTGTTGCTGTGATTTCCATAGCATTCCTCAGTGCTTGCTTTACTGTGAGCCGTGTGGGTAAGTTCTTCACTGAGGTGCCACTTCTCTTGATTGCTTTCCCTTTCATGTTTCATAGAGATTTATTAGGGTGTGTTTGCCTTTCCTCCATTGATATGTTAGGTTTTACTTAGAATGCCATGCTTTTCTTTTCTTATTATAAAAAACAACAAACCGACAACTTTTAACTTTTTTTAATTGAATTTCTTTGGGTGACTGTTAATTAAATCATATAGGTTTCAAGTATACAAGGTAATAAAATACCATCTGCATACTGCATCATGGGCCAAAGTAAGGTCTCTTTCCATCCCCATTTATCTTCTATTGGCCTACTTATACCTCTCTTAACCATACTGTCGTCTGTGTCTCTGTGTTATATATATATATATATATATATATATATATATATATATATATATATATATATATCTTTTTTGCTTAATCCTTTCAATTTCTCACCTACACCCTCATCATCTCCCCCCTGACAGCTGTTCCATAGTCCTATGCTTCTGTTTCTATTTTGTTTATAACTTACTTTCTTTATCAGATTTCGCATATAAGTGAGATCATATGGTGTTTGTCTTTCTCTGATATAGTCATTTCACTTAGCATAATAACCTTCAGGTCCTCCCTGCTGTCACAAATGGTAAATTTTCTGCCTTTTTACAGCTGAGTTGTATTCCATTGTGTAAATGTACCACAGCTTTTTTTGTTCATTCATATACTTATGGGCACTTGGGGTGTCTCCAGATCTTGGATATTGTAAATTACACTGCAACAAACATAGGGGTGCATATATTCTTTCAAATTAAATATATTTCTTCAGATATATTCCAAGTGGTATCACTGAGTCAAGAGGTAGTTCCTTTTTTAAATTTTTGAAATAACAACATGCTGTTTTCCACAATGAGTATACCAGTCTGCATTCCCACTAACAACGTACTAGGGTTCCCTTTTCTCCACATTACTGCCAGCAATTGTTGTTTGTTGATTTATAGATGAAAGCCATTCTGACAGACATGAGGTGATATCTCATTGTCATTTTAATCTTCATCTCTGATGATCAGTGACATTAAACATCTTTTCATGTTTATTGGCCATTGTATGTCCTCCTGGGAGAAAGTTTTATTCAGGTCCTTTGCCCATTTTTAAATTGGGTTTTTGGTGTTGAGTTGTATACATTCTTTATATATTTTGGAAGTTAACCCCTTATCAGATGTATCATTGGAGAATTTATTTTCTCATACAGTGGGGTCCCTTTTCATTTTGTTGTAGAAGGTTTTCTGTGTAGAAGGTTTTTAGTTTGAGGTAGTCTCATTTGTTTATTTTTTCCTTTGTTTCCCTTGTCCCAGGAGATATGTCAGAAAAAATATTGCTATGTAAGATGTCTGAGACTTTACTACTTATGTTTTCTTCTAGGATTTTTATGGTTTCACGACCTATATTTCACTCTTTAATCCATTTTGAGTTTGTTTTTTTTTTGTATGGTGTAAGCTGATGCTCTAGTTTCTTTTTCTTTTTTCATGTATTTGTCCAATTTCCCCAGCACTCATTTATTAAAGAGACTATCTTTATCCATTGTATATTCTTGCCTCCTTAATAAGATATTAATTAGTCATGCATGGGTTTATACCTGGGCCTCCTCCTCTTTCTTAATCCTTACCCAAGAATATATTTTCCATTGATTTTTAGAGAGAGGGAAAGACAGAGAGAAATATCAATGTGAGAGAAACATGTCAGTTGGTTGCCTTCTGCAGCTGAGGCCCAGGAAAGGAGGAGCCTGAAAGCGAGGTACATGCCCTCGACCAGAATCAAACCTGGGACATTCAGTCCCCAGGCTGATGCTCTATCCACTGAGCCAAACTGGCTGAGGCTCTATCTAGTGAGCCAAACCAGCTAGGGCTGAGCTCTCTGTTTAGTTCCATTAATTTATATGCTTGTTCCTTTGCCAATACCATGCTGTTTTGATTATTTATGACCTTATAGTACAGTTTCATATTAGATATTGTGATACCTCCAGCTTTGTTTTTCTTAAGCTTGCTGAGGCTATTCAAGGTCTTTTGTGGTTCCATATAAAATTTTGGAATATTTGTTTTAGATTTGTAAGATATGCCATTGGTATTTTAATAAGAATTACATTTAATCTATTGATTGATTTAAGCAGTATGGACATTTTAATGATGTTAATTCTGTCTATCCATCAATACGGTATATTCTTCTACTTATTTGTTTCTTCCTCGGTTTTTTTCCTTCAGTATCTTATAATTTTTCTTGTACAGATAGTTTACCTCCTTGGTTAAAGTGATTCTTAGGAACCTTATTTTTTTTTTGGTGGTGGTGTTTGTTGCAATAGCAAATGGAATTGTTTCTTAATTCCTCTTTCTGATAGTTCATTACTGGGGTATAAAATGCCACCAATTTCTGAATATTGAATTTGTATCCTGCTACTTTGCTGAATTCATTTATTATATCCAGTGTTCTTTTGTTTATTGGTTTGTTTGGTTTTGGTGGAGGCTTAGGGTTTTCTATATACAATACTATGTCATCTGTGAATAATGACAGTTTTTCTTTCTCTTTTCCAATATTCATGCCTTTTATTGCTTTTTATCTGGTTAGTACTTCTAGTGCTATCCTATATAATAAAAGGCTAATATGCAAATCGACCAACAGCAGAACAACTGCTTGCTATGACACATACTGTCTATGAGGGGGCAGCTGCTCAACACAGAAACTGCCCCCTTGTGGTCAGTGCGTAGTACTGCTCAGCCAGAAGCCCTAAGCCAGGTTCATGGCTGGTGAGTCCAGTGGTGGAGGCAGAAGTCTGTTCCACCTCCACAGCAGCGCTAAGAATGTCCAATTGTCAGCTCCTAGGGGTGTCGAACTCAATCAGAGAAGGGGCCAAAATCTAAAATCCAGCCTAAATCGCGGGCCGAATGGTTTACTGAACAGTCATAAACTGTCATTGTGGTGGAAACACAGCGGAGTGCAGTGATGACAGCGCGGTGCAGGCCACATTGCAAGGCCTGGCGGGACGGATTTGGCCCGCGGGCCTTGTGTTTGACACATGTGGCTTAGGCCATGAGGAGTGGACCTAAATTGGCAGTTGTACATCCCCCAAGGGCTCCTGGACTGTGAGAGGGTGCAGGCTGAGCTGAGGAACCCTCCCCCCCACTCCGATTGCAGGAATTTCATGCACTGGGCCTCAATGTTGAATTAGGGTGGTGAAAGCTGACATTCCCATCTTGTTCTTGACTTTAAAGATAACACTTTTAGTTTTTGCTTGTTGTGTATAATGTTGGCAGTAGGTTTGTCATATTTTGCCTTTATTATGTTAAGGTATGATCCCTCTATTCCCACTTTGCTGTGAATTTTTATCCTAAATGCATGATGGATTTTATCATGTGCTTTTACTGTCTGTATTGAAATGATCATGTGAATTATATCCCTCATTCTGTTTATATTATATATCATGTTTATTGATTTGTGAATATTATACTAACCTTTCATCCTAGGATTAATCCCACTTGATTACAATGCATGATCTTTTCAATGTAGTGCTGGATTCAGTTTGTTAATATTTTGTTGACGACTTTAGCATCAATGTTCATCAGGGATATTTGCCTTGTTTTTAATTATTTTTTATGTATTGAAAAGGAAGAGATGAATCTTCCCTTTATTTTACATGATATGATTGTCAATATAAAAGAAATCCAAGAAAATCTGTGAATAAATAACTAGAACTGATAAAAAGATTGGTCATGTAGTGAAATACAATATCCATATTCTAAAATCAATAACATTTTTATACAATTTATGACTTTCTTGATTATTAACTTTTCTTCCAGATTTACTTCATTTGGTTTTATTAGCATTTCCTCAATGATAACTTCATATTTGAATGTGTGTTAGTAGTAGCCATATTCTAAGACCCTATCTGTCACTACTGGGTTCCATAGTGGTCAAGTGTTCTCTAGTGACAAAGTCCTCTATTGTAATGTAACTATAATTGCTTTGACAATCATGATACTTTAGAGTATGGTTTTTGATTTTCATGTGAGAGTCTTTTCCAACATGAGAAAAAGTATTCAAATGAAATAATAGAGATGTAGAGGAATACAATATTTATTTACTGTTTTATTTGTTTCCAAATAAATATTTCAGGTACACTTTGTGAGAAATCTCAAATACTTTTTTCTTTCTAATGTACAGTTTGCTTCTCTATTCACTGATAAGGTGATTAAAAATAGTTATTGTATAGCCTGGAACTGAAACTGATTTTATGTCAAATGGGCCCATTTGAAGTTTCTTTGAGATAAAGAAATCTCATAGTGTTTATTAAAACACAAATAATTATCACCGAAGTTAAAATCTGCTTTATTTTTATGGTCAAGAGCAAGAGAGGAAGAGGCTCAAGAAAAGATATTTTATTTTTATCAAGAGAAAGCAGATATTCCTGTCTCCTGGACATAGGCTAAGAGGAAGGTAGAAAGGTTTCCCAGTAGTGAGCTTCAGAAGTAGAAGGTCAAGGCAGAAATGAGTCAAGAATAAATTCAGGATCCAAGAGAGAAGAGGTCTTTTTTAATATTATTAATTTATTTTTTATTGATTCCAAAGAAGGAAAGGAAAGGAAAGAGGAAGAAACTACAAAGAAGGAGTAGGAAGAAGAGAGAGAGAGAAAGAGAGAGAGAGAGAGAGAGAGAGAGAGAGAGAGAGAGAGAGAGAGAGAGAGATTAATGATGAGAGAGAATCATTGATTGGCTGACTCCTGCATGACCCACTCCGGGGACTGAGTCTGCAACTTGGGCATGTGCCCTGCCGGGGAATGGAACCATGACCTCCTGTTCCATAGGTCTATGCTCAACCACTAGCCATGCTGGCCAGGGGGGAGAACAGGTTTTGTTCAATATGCACACCCTTGACCATAAAACTTAATGCTCATTTAAGATATTTAAAATGTTGCTGTTTAAAGGTCCCCCTAGGTTTCTATTTACCACTTATGTTTATCTACCAGAATTCAGAAATTTTAGAAAATATCAAAATAACCTCCAAACTTGCCTCAGGATTATTAAAATTAAGGAGAAGTAGACAGCTAATTGGCCAACAAATATCTGTAGGTCATTATGTCCTATGTGCTTTTAATTCACTGATATAGAAAAGAATTAGAATATCTGTCCTAGAATACAGACTTTAAATTTCAATGAGGGAAGAGCAAATATAATGTGTAGGCTTATGTAACAACTGAATATAAGAAACCAGTAATTTAGCACTGCCTTTACTGGGCTTTCATAGAGAGAAGACTGTGATGGTAGTTGGAAATAAGCCCACTTTGATGGAATTTAAGCTCTATAGTAAAAGAATGGATGGATACTAATCTTTCTCTCTTTACAGTGAATTTTCATTTTATACATGGCAAAAGTGACAAAAGGCTGTCTGAACTACGCACATACAATTCAGGTTTAAGCTGCTTTAGTGAAGGAACGAGCATGACAGGTAAGGTGTTGCAATTATTATTATTTTTTTAATAATATATTTTATTGATTTTTTTTTTAACCAGGAGGAAGGGAGAGGGATAGAGAGTTAGAAACATTGATGAGAGAGAAACATCAACCAACTGCCTTCTGCACACTTCCCACTTGCCCACAATCAAGGTACATGCCCTTGACTGGATTTGAACCTGGGACCCTTAGTCCATAGGTGGATGCTCTATCCACTGAGCCAAACTGGCTAGGGCCCAATTATTAAAAAAAATGGATTTTAGGCAGAGGGAGGGAGGTAGAGAGGGAGAGAGAGAAGGAAAGAGGGAGGGAGGGAGGAAAGGAAAGAGGAAGAAACAGTGAGAAACATCAATGTGACAAACATTGACTGATTGCTTCCTCCACACTCCTCAACCAGAGATCAAACCCACAACCTGAATATATGTCTTGACTGGGAATCAAACTCACAACCTTGATGTGCACAAGATAACATTCCAACCAACTGAGCCATACTGGCCAGGGCATGCACTGTAATTCTCAACCAGACTGTCCCTTTCCTCAGAGGTCCACGGGGCGGGGGGAGCTCAAGATTGGTTTATTCTTGTTTTTTTTTTTTTTTTTTTTTTTTTAAATATATCTCAACTTACATGCTCATATCAGACTCTAGATTTTCCCTAAAAAACAATTCCTTTTCCAGACTTCCAGACAAATGCTACCAACATCCACAAAATTTGCTCAAGCCTCATGTGGAAATATTTCATAAAAATTCTGCTTTCAAATTATTCTTACTTTTATAAAATTTAAAAATTATCTTTTGGTATTTAAGTTTTCTAATTAATAATATTTATCTACATCCCAAGTAACCGTTTTATTACTGGCCAATTTTGATGTTGGACCATGAATGAAGATGAGACTGTCCTCACTTTAAAACTGTATAAATGTACATAGCTGTTTTATCCACTTTACTGATGGACACTTGGGCTGCTTCAGGATATTGGCTAATGCTGCAACGAACATAGAGGTGCATCTATTGTTTTGAATTAGTGTTTTGGGTTTCTTTGGATAAATTCCCAGAAGTGGAGTTGCTGGGTCATGAGGCAGTTCCATTTTTTTCTTGTTTTGTTTTGCTTGTTTGTTTGTTTTAACAATATTTCTTTTTAAAAAAATATAATAAATCTTTATTTTTCAGATTATTACAATTGTTTCTCCTCCCCCCCCCCCCCCGCAACTTCCTTCCACCTGGTTCCCGCCCCACCCTCTGCCCTTACCTCCCCTCCACTGTCCTCATCCATAGGTATATGATTTTTGTCCAGTGTCTTCTTGCACCCCCACAGCCAGCTCCCCCCTGATAATTATCCATGCACTCCATTCTATGCTCCTGATTCTATTATATTCACCAGTTTATTCTGTTCCTCAGATTTTTAATTTACTTTATTTTTAGAGTCACCTGTTGATAGATATGTATTTGTTCTTCATAATCTTTATCTTTACTTTTTTTCTTCTTCTTCCTCTTCTTAAAGAACACCTTTCAGCATTTTATATAATCCTGGTTTGGTGGTGATGAACTCCTTTAGCTTTTTCTTATCTGTGAAGCTCTTTACCTGACCTTCAATTCTGAAGGATAACTTTGCTGGGTAGAGTAATCTTGGTTGTAGATTCTTGCTGTTTATCACTTTGAATATTCCTTGCCATTTCCATCTGGCCTGCATTGTTTCTGTTGAGAAATCAGCTGACAATCGTATGGTTGCTGCCTTGTAGGTAATTAATTGTTTTTCTCTTGCTGCTTTTAATATTCTCTCTTTGTCTTTTGCTCTTGGCATTTTAATTATAATATGTCTTGGTGTGGTCCTCTATAGATTCCTTTTGTTTGGGGTTCTTTGTACTTTCTGGACTTATAAGTCTATTTCTTTTACCAGGTGGGGAAAGTTTTCAGTCACTATTTCTTCAAATATGTTTTTGATATCTTGTTCTCTCTTTTCTTCAGGCACTCCCATAATTCTGATGTTGGTATGCTTTTTTTTTCTTTCAATTCTGTGCATACATAATTTGCACATAATTTATTCACATTTCATTTAACATAATTATAATCAGAGTAGACATAATTTTTGAGTCTGCTTTATTCAAGTTGGTATTTATCATAGTATTTTCATATTGCTACATAGTCTTTTATTATTTTAATTAGCTGCAAGAAAATGTCATAAATGTGCTCAAATTTACTCAATCGCTGTCCTTTTGACCAACATAAAAATTTTGATATGAATATTTTTAAATTGCAATCTATACATTTTAATTGCTCTAAATTAGGGGTTAGCAAACTCTGTCCTGAGAGCAAAATCCACTCCATTTTCCTACTGCCTGCAGGCTAATGATAGCTTTTAGTTTTTAAGGGCTGGAAAAATTTTACAAAGAATAGTATTTCATGACATAACAATTACATGAAATTAAAAATTCAGTATCCATAAATAAAGTTTTATTTTTTATTTATTTTTATTTTTTAATTTAATTTTATTTTTCAGTGTATGAAACCTCTTTTATTTACTTAAAGAAGCCTAGAACTTTATATGTGTGTCACACAAGGCTTGAAAGAGAGAAATAAGCAAATTGAGCAGCTTTGGAAAGCCTTACAGTTCACTGTAATGTACTTTATTTTTATTTTTTTATTTATTTATTTTTTGTCTTTTTAAATTAAAAAAAATATATATTTTATTGATTTTTTTTTTGCCCCCTACCCTCTCTCCCATACATACCCTCCCTCCCCAGAGTTTTATGTCCATTGGTTGTACTTAGATGCATGTATGCAAGTCCTTCGGTTGATCTATTATCTCCCCCCCGATCTTCCTCCCCTCCCCACTGTGATGTTGGTATGCTTAAAGTTGTCCCAAAGGCTTCTTATACTATTTTCAACTTTTGGATTCTTTTTTATTTTTTCTTTCCCAGTTAAGTGTTTTTCTTCTTCTTTGTATTTCAAATCTTTTAGTTGATTTTTGCATTCTTCTAGTCTGCTGTTAGGTCTCTATAATATTTTTTATTTCAGTCAGTGTATGTTTAATTTCTAATTGGTCCTTTTTTATATCCTCGAGGGTCTCACTAAATTTATTGGCCTTTTCTAGGAAATTCTTGAAAAATTTTATAACAGTGGTTTTGAACTCTATCCAGTCATTTGTTTTCTCCATTTCTTGAGTTTGTGATCTGTTTTTGTGTGTTTTTCCCCCCCTCCGCATTTTCACTGGTTCCCTTAGCTGGGAGGTTGGCTTTGTGTGCTAGATGTCCTATATGGCCCAGTGGGTTGGCCTCGCAGTTACCTGAGGTGGACACTCTTGGTGCACCCCTTTGTGGACTGTGTGTACAACCTTGTTGTAGTTAAGTCTTGATTGTTGTTGGTGCCACTGGGAGGAATTGCCCTCTAGGCCAATTGCCTGTGAGGAACTGCTGCATCTATGATGGGAGAACTTCTATGCTAGAGACACCCTTATGAGGCAAGACTTGCTTCAGTGGGGCTTTGGTGCTCACTGAGTCTGTCCCCTGACTGTATCCCTTATGGATGTGAGGAGTTGAAATCTGGTGTTGTCTCACACTGACCACTAGATATACTAGCTTCTGGATCTCCAATGGAGTGCAGGTCAGCTACTGTCTGAGGCCACCCAGCAGGAGCTACAGTGAAAAGTACAGTTTTCTCCTCTTTGCTTGGGGTTTTGGAACTGTCTGACCAGAGCTTCAGTTTGTTATGTTAAGCTGCGATAGGGCAGGCCATTTATATGCAAAAGCCGCTGAGTGGAGCTTGGGTGGGTTTGTAGATTGTACAGGGTGGGGTCTCAGGGAGTCACTAGGCTAGGGCATGGCAAATAGTGATGGCTGCCAGTCAGCCATCTCTGCGTCTCTGCATTTCCAAATCCCCTCTTCCCGAGCTCCAGCGCACTAAACAATGATTGCTGGGCACAGCTCTGTCAGAAAGCCACTCTCACTTTCCGACCCGATGGCAGACAGTCCAGCTTCTCCCATAGGAGTTTGGGTCCCCAGCATCTCCCCAGAAAATGGAATTCAGAGTAATCAGGAACTTGTCTCCCTTCAGGTTGAAAAAAGCAGCAGACCCAATTGCCTGCTGCCAGTCTGATTTGTGTGCCTCTGTACCTCCGCTTTTCAGTGCTTGTGCACGTCTCAATGCTCTTTTCTCTTTCCTTCTAGTTGTAGAACTTCCACTCGGCCAACTTTCCTGTGGTTCTGGGTGATAGATGTCTTGCCTTTTAGTTGTAGTTTTAAAATTGTTGTGTAAGGCATCAGTTTAGGTGTTTAACTTCGCCCCCATCTTGGTTTCCCCTTTCCTTGCCTTTTTTAATTTTTATTTTATTTTATTTATTTATTTATTTTTTACATCACTACTGAATTAAACATGCATAGAGTTCAATTTTACTTTTAAAAATCATATTAATGTATGGCATGATATGCATTTTGATGTGCCTGATTTCTCTTTTCACCATTTTACCTCAGATTTATCTTTGTTGTGTGGAAGTTGTTTATTTTATTTAGGCTTTGGAAGGGTTTCTCCCAGCACCTCCCCAAGCTTAAAGCCTCCACCGCAGGCTTTAGGCTTGGGAAGCAGTTCCACCAGCACCTCCAATCGCAGGCTTGACCACTTCCATAGCCTCTGCCTGATGGCTGGCTGGGAGTTACCTGGGTGCAGAGGAGGTTCCCCAGAACTGCCCCAGCCCGCGGGGCACAACAAGGTGGGGAGAGGGAGGACCTGTGGAGGATGAAAAGAAGGGACAGGGGCACGGAGGAATGGAGGCAAGACAAAGTTCTGATCAAACCTCAAACTTTATTTTTGGAACAACAGTATATATACAGCAGGAACAAAGGGGGGCAGGGTTGCCTACGCAGTGGGATCTTTGACAGTGTATAATTGGTTTAGGCACTGAGTGACAAGGTGGTAAGGTACCTGGCAACACAGGATTGGCTAACTGCCAGGGCGGTGTAACATTCCAAGGTGTAACATTCCAAGGCCCGGCTAGCTATGGGGGAGGATCAGGAAGGGGAGTTGCAGAGATCCTCCGGAGCAAGATGTGCTAAGCGGCAGGTTAATCTTTAGCTTCTGGCCAAACCCACAGGGCACCGCATAACTTCTGCTTGAAGGAACTTAATTCTAAGATGGAGTTGTATTTTCTTAAGACGGAGTTGCTTGTCTCAACTCTGATGGCTCCCAACACAGAACCAGATCTGTATGCACATTAACCATCATCTCTGTTGGGTTAATTTGCATACGCACTCTGATTGGCTGTGGGCGTAGCAAAGGTAGGGTCAATTTACATGTTTCTCTATTATTAAGTATGATAATTAATCCTATTCACTATCCTGTATTTTATATCCACAGGATAATTTTATAACTTTATTTATAATACTTAATTCCTTCATCTTTTCCACTAGCCCTCTCCACGCCCCTCCCCCCACCCCCAGCAATCCCCTTCCCTTCTGGTAACTTCCAGTCTGTTCTTTGTATCTATGAGTAAGTTTCTATTTTTATTATTATTATTATTTTGTTCTTTAGGTTCCACATGTAAATGAAATCATATGGTATTTGTCTTTCCTAGTCTGACTTGGTTTTCATGAGGTTCCCCTTGATCTCAATTGTATTATACACTTTGTAAATTACTTTTCTTATATTGCACCTACATGGTCTTCTGTTAATACAGAGAAAGATTGGAGCTGCTGCCCAAAGAAGTGGGAGCCATTTAGTTTGAACTGCTACTTTATTTCTACTGACACCAGAAACTGGACAGAGAGTAAAAACAACTGCGCAGCAATGAAGTCTCACCTGCTGGTGATCCACACCAAAGAAGAGCAGGTATGTTCTAACAGATAATGAAGTAATCAATCCTGCCAGGGTTTTGTACACCTATCCTGGCTAAGGAGGATGCTTTCATTGTGTTAGCATATTGGTGCTGTGGTAAAAGGCTTTCAATGAAGTAGGAAAGGCTACTTAAGCCTTTACATTTCACACCTTCTTCCAGCTTCCATAAAACTAAACTCCTTCAAAATAAATGAAGGCATTTAAAATAAAATATGTGGGAGTTGAGTGGAGAGATGAAAGTATTTCAGTCTGAAATATCAGTTTATTATTTTAACATGAAAATGTTTTATAAATTACTTATTTATTTCATATATATAATTGATTTCAGAGAAAAGAAGAGGGAGGGAAAGAGAGATAGAAATATCAATGAAGAGAGAGAATCATTGATTGTCTGCCTCCTGTATGTCACAGACTGGGGATTGAGACCGAAAATTGAATATGTGCCCCAATTGGGAATCGAACCTTGGCCTCCTGGTTCATAGGCCGATGCTCAACCACTAAGCCATATCTGCTGGGCTATAAATTATTAACTAACAAAGAAGCAGTATTAAGTAAAATAGTGGAATAAAATATGTAAAAAAAATTTCCAAGGTTGTGAAAAGAAAAGGATTTAATATGCAAAAAGTTTACTCATGCATAAGTTTGAAGAATAGCCGCTCTCAGTGAATAAAAGAGTGGGAGTGAGTCTAAGATGAGACTTCATTATGTTTATGGATAGAAATCACTTCCATATGTATTGAACATTGTTATGTTCTCAATGTGTGTGTCTTCTCCAAATTTGCATGTTGAAATTTTAACTCCAAAAGGTGATGGTATTAGGAATTGGGGGTTTGGGGAGGTGTTTAGGTCATTAGGATGGAGCCCTCATAAATCAGGTCAGTGTTCTTTTTAAAAGAGACCTTCCATCATGTGAGGACACAGCCAGAAGGGGCCAGCTATGACCCAGGCAGAGGGATTTTCCCAATCATGCTCCTACCCTGATCTGGAATTCCAGCCTCCAGACCTGTGAGAAATATGTGTCTGCAGTTTATAAGCTCCCCTGTCTGTGGTCTTCTGTTGCAGCAGTCTGAGTAGATGAAGACAAACATCAGGCTCCCCGGGGATGTCCATGATCCTATACTGCACAGCCTCCTGGGCAGGGCCTCCTGACTCTTCCTGGATCCCCTCCTTTTCTTCTCTCCCTAAGGCCATAAAGAACTCAATCCAACCTGAGTACTCTAATGGCCAGAACCCCTTTTCTTTCTTTCCTCAGGATTTTATCATTGGGAAACTGGATAGAAAGAGCGCTTATTATGTGGGGCTGTCAGACCCAGAGGGGAACAGAGCATGGCAATGGGTTGATCAGACACCATACAATGCAAGTGCCGCATGAGTATAGAATTTGATAAAGGAATCCTGACTTTTGATCATCAGGCATTTTCCAGTGTCCAAAGTATTGATATTAAAATAAAAATAGCTCAGGCTTCTTATAACTCTTGGCACTAAGTTAAATAATTTTATTTATTATCTCATGAATCATCACAAGAACCCTATGGAGCACAGATTATTATGTTTTATTGTAGAGCTGAGGAGCTGAGTTTAGAGAGTTTAGATAACTCAGCATATGTTATCTGGCATTGGTGCAATGGTCCTTAAACCCAGGTCTATTTGACACCAAGGTTTGTATGTTTTATTTTTAAATCCCTCTTCCCTACTTAAATATGTTTCCATTGATTTCTGAGAGAGGAAGGGCAAGGGAGAGAGGGACAGAAACCTCAATGATGAGAGAGAATCATCGGTTGGCTGCCTCTCACACGTCTCCAATGGCAAGTGAACTCACAACCTGGGCATGTGCCCTGACTGGGAATCAAATTGTGACCCTGGTTCATGGGTCAATGCTCAATCGCTGAGCCACACTAGTTGGGCTAAAATCTGTGTATTGACCACAAATTTGCATCTCTAAACAAACATAGTCATACTAATTAAAATCATAACCAATGGTTAATATTTATTATCTCTTATAAAGCAAATGAATGAAATTCTGATAATTTTATAATATCCCATATTAGTGTAGGTCTTTTAAAACTGTTAAGTACTTTAGTACATTATTATTTTTTTAAATTTATTTTTATATTTTTGTTAATAATCACCCGAGGGTATTTTTCCATTAATTTTTAGAGAGAGTGGTAAGGAGAGGGAGAGATAGTGAGTGAGAAACATTGATGTGAGAGATATGTATTGGTTGCCTCCCACACACACCTGGCCCTGCACTGAGCCAAACCGGCCAGAGCAGTACATTCCTATTTTTAAAAAATATATATATTTTATTGATTTTTTACAGAGAGGAAGAGAGAGGGATAGAGCGTTAGAAACATCAATGAGAGAGAATCATTGATCAGCTGCCTCCTGCACACTCCCTACTGGGGGTGTGCCCGCAACCAAGGTACATGCCCTTGACCTGAATCGAACCTGAGACCTTTCAGTCCTCAGGCCGACATTCTATCTACTGTGCCAAACAGGTTTCAGCACATTCCTATTTTTGATCCTTATATCAACTGCATGAAATATATAGGAATCTTACTCTATTCTTTATTTTTTTAGATATGTAAATAAAGGAAATTAAATAAGATGTCCAAGATAACAGGCATCAGAGCAGATTCATAGATTTTAACTCTTTCTTTAGACTCCCAAGCAGTTGGTTAAAAAAAAAAGAAAAAGAAAAAAAGTTCATTAAGACTTGGGACCAGAGTAAAATGTCATCATTAAGGAATCCTATGGCTGACAGTTCCCTAGGTCAGGGCATGGATAAATAGAAGGGACTCTGGGATATCTGCTGGGAAGGTGTTTAATGCAGTAAGATGACACCATACTGGGTGGTGTGTAGGCTCAGTTTTCAAGGGAAATGACAAAGACACAGATGGAGAAAGAAACAACTACTGCCTAATAAGCGGAAAAGAAATTATTGGGCACTTCTGCTTTGATTTTTGCACAGTTTAACCCCAGCTTCCTACCTCACTGTCTCTAACCCTTCTCACTATTTGAAGACACAACCATATTTTTCCCTTTCAGATTCTGGCATCAAGGTGAACCCAATAATCCTATGGAGCGTTGTGTTTTCCTGAATAAAAGTCCACAAGGCTCATGGGGCTGGAATGATGCTGATTGTAAGGACTCTCAAAGGTTAATTTGCAAGATGAGGAAGATCTACTTATGAGTGGGAAATTCTCCATGAACATGCCATTGAATTAGTAGCCACCAATAAAGAGTTAAATATGTTTCTTTGCTTTTCAGAATTCATGTGTAGCTTGTGTAAGTGATCTTCAGAGAATTTTCCAATAGGCTGTCACCTATCAACTTATATAAAATAAGTGTACATGTTTATTCGTGTATTCATTCACACAGTGAACACCTGTGGAGCATTTTATAGTCTACTGTATACTGGAGAGCCTATTTGCAGACAAATGGAGAGAGAATGAGCCTCCTCCCTGAATTTTTGTCTAATTGTTAAGGGTTTATCAGGGGTGGGAAAAGCCCGGTCCACTGGCCAGATAAGGCCCCCTAAATCATCTGGTCTGGCCCTGCCAAGGCATTAGGGGGTGAGTTAATTAAATGTTCGGCCAAATACAGCAAGCTTATTGTTAAGGTGATAATTTTGTATGGCCCAAGAATGATGTTATAAATATCCACATGGCTATTGGCAGAAAAAAGGTCCCCACCCCACCCCTGAGTTACAAACTGATATAATATGATGTGGCTCCTCCATTTATCTGGATTTATCTCTTTACTAGAGGCCCGATGCATGAAATTCCTGCAAGGGGCTCAGCCACAACAGCCCTGGCTGCCTCGACCCTCACAGCCCCCAGCTACCTCAGCCCTTGCATCCCCAGCCTCATCCAGAAGGTGATTCGGACAGGCGTTCCACTGTCCGGTCTAATTAGTATATTAATTGTTTACTTTAGGATGGGCTGCTCAAAAGCAAAACAGTACCAACCATTCCATTCCATTTCTCTCAGAGAGATTCATTATTTTCACTAAAAGCATATTACATATCATTTGGAATATAATGCACATCAATGGCAGATAAGTCTCAGCTTTGGCCCAGTAGGCTCCTGTGCTTCTTCACATTCTCTGTTTGGACTTGAACTGTCATTTAATATCAGAGCGCAGGCACAGCATAACCAGAGATTGAGCATTTGATATTCACAATTAGAGAATTAGAAGTCATTACTGGTGTAAAAACGAAGCAACTTTAAAATGGAGTCACAGCTGCCACCCCATTGAAACTGCCTTTCAGGTCTTCTCAAACCTTTCGAATATTCAAACTTGCAAAATAACTGGGCCTAAAATAGCACTGTATCTCAAACAACTCTTAACAACAACAACAACAACACAACCCAAAACAACAACAAAGAAAGCTGATATAATGACTCCTGACTGAAAATTAAAGGAATTCTTTAGAATTAGCATCACTATGTTATTGTGTCTGCACCTATAGCAGCCCCTTGCTTCTATCTATACATTTGTTCCTATTACTTTCTCAAATACTCCTTGCCATAAACTCCTACTAAGAACATGAAGTGTCTTCCTGAATCCATCAGTGCTTCCAGAATAGCCTTTGGATCCCAAAAAATGCTTTTTGCTCCTCACTTTGACCGTTTATTTTTAGGTTAACACTGATGAGTTGACATAGGTTTGTATTCATTAGGTTTTCTGGTATTTTTTTCTTTAAGTTCTGTAATTTCCATGTATGGATTGCCACTCAAAATGACTCCTGGCATATTTGTGTCTCCCTTTTTACTAAAGTTCTTACACACAATTTTCTTTCTAAAACAATATAAAATATATAATATTTACAATAAGGCCTGCAATTCATGCTAATTTTAGCAGTTATAATTAATCATAATAAAGCTGATTTTCTCTATGACTATCTCCATGTGGCCTATAATTTTCTTGATTTAACAGTGTAGTTAATTATATTTACCACTCATTGCTTGCCTATATCTCAATTGAGTTATTTTTTTAAAATTTTTTATTGTTTAAATTATTCTGTGTATCTCCCTTTCCCCCAGTGACATCTCCCTAGCCCATGCCCTCATCTCCCTACTGTCTGTGTCCATTGGTTTTGCTTATATGCATATATACAAGTCCTTTGGTTGATCTCTTACCCTGCCCTCCTCCCCACATCTCCTACCTTCCCTCTGAGGTTGGCCAGTCTGTTCGATGCTTCTGTGTCTCTGGATCTATTTTTGCTTATCAGATTATGTTGTTCATTATATTCCACAAATGAGTGAGACCATGTAATATTTATCTTTCTCTGACTGGCTTATTTCACTTAGCATAATGTTCTCCAGGTCCATCCATGCTGTTGGGAATGGTCAGAGTTCCTTCTTTTTTAACAGCAGCATAATATTCCATTGTGTGGATGTAACAATGTTTTATAATCCAGTCATCTGCTGATGGGCACTTAAATTGTTTCCAAATCTTAGCTATCGTAAATTATGCTGCTATGAACATAGGGGTGCATATACCCTTTCTGATTGGTGTTTCTGGTTTCTTGGGATATATTCCCAGAAGTGGGATTAGTGGGTCAAATGGGAGTTCCATTTTTAATGTTTTGAGGAAATGCCATACTGTTCTCCACAGTGGCTGCACCAGTCTGCATTCCCACCAGCAGTATGAGAGGGTTTCTTTTTCTCCCCATCCTCACCAGCACTTGTCGTTTGTTGATTTGTTGATCATAGCCACTCTGACAGGTGTGAGATGGTACCTCATTGTTGTTTTGATTTGTATCTCTCAGATGATTAGTGACTTTGAGCATGTTTTTACAATATATGTCCCTTGGCCTTCTGCATGTCCTCTTTCAAAAAGTGTCTATTTAGGTCCTTTGCCCATTTTTTTGCTTGGATTGTTTTTCTTTTCTTTCGTTAAGTTGTATGAGTTCCCTATAAATTTTGGAGATTAAACACTTATCAGAGATAACATTGGCAAATATGTTCTCACATGTAGTTGGCTTTCTTGTTGTTTTGTTGATGGTTTCTTTTACTAGGCAGAAACTTCTTATTTTAATGTAGTCGTATTAGTTTACTTTCTCCTTAGTTCCCATTGCCCTAGGAATGGTGTCAGTAAAGATATTGCTTTGATAAATTCCTGATATTTTGCTGCCTATGGATTTTTCTAAGATTTTTATGGTTTCCCACCTTACATTTAAGTCCTTTATCCATTTTAAGTTTATTTTTGTGTCTGGTGTAAGATGGTGGTCTAGTTTCATTTTTTTTTTTTGCATGTATCTGACCAGTTTTCCCAGCACCATTTATTGAAGATACTGTCTTGCTTCCACTGTGTACTCTTGCCTCCTTTGTCAAATAGTAAGTGACTATTATGGCTTATGTCAATTTCTGGGTTCTGTGTACTCTTCCATTGGTCTATATGTCTGTTCTTGTGCCAGTACCAGGCAGTTTTGAGGACAGTGGTTTTGCAGTATAGCTTGATATGGCCTTATGATCCCTCCAACTTTGCTCTTCTTTCTCAAGGTTGCTGCAGCTATTCGGGGTCTTTGTCAGGTACATTTACATTAAAGGTTGTTATAGCTTCTTGGAATATCCACTTCTTTAACATTATGGAATGCCTGTCTTTATCCCGGATAGGTTTCTTGCTCTGAGGTCTGCTTTGTATGAAATTACTATAGCTACAAACTTTTAATAATTAGATATAGCTAATTATTATTTATAATTAGCTATAACTAATTATTATAGCTTATTATTTTTTAAAAACTATTT